TTATTTAAATAGGCACTCTTTAGACAGTATTAAAACACATTAAAATACAAGTACGAATGTCTATTGACTCTTTAGCTTTTCTTTTCTCAATATTTCTGATTATGAAATAAAAATTTGCACAGATATGTTTATAGAAGATTTGTAGCCTATATTTGTAATTGTATAGTTGTTGTTTTTTAAGTAGCCTAAATTATACCCTGACTGAACTCAAAATGCAAATGATGCATGTCATGGACAAACTGCTAGCCTGTTTCTCTGAAAGCCCAGGATGTTCTCTTTAGGACATCATTTAAAACAGTGACGTGTGTGGTCTCAGAGAAGTGTATGGCTAAAGTCCTCTAGCCTATAGCCTAGAACAAAAATGAACTGCTGGGCCCAAGATATTAAATAAAAATAAGAAAAGCAGAGCATACCTCTTCATGCTTGGTGTCCTCTGAGGAAAATACCATACAATTCTAATGAAACTAAATTCAGAAAATTATTTTAAAAAAAATTGGGGTTGCATGCAAGCTTTTAACTATATAAAAACAAATCTGGATTTGCATGGAATGTTTTAAAAGTCAGCAAAGAACTCAATTTTAAACAGCATAAGGAATGGTCTTTGGATAGTAAATACTTTGAATAGTTCTTCAAAGTGTTCACCCCTTTCCCTTAAGGCCTCGGGTAAAACTTTGCTGCATGGTAATTCCTTTTCTTGCCACACTACTGAACAAAGTTCACCATTTCAAAGCCAAAAAATATTTCACAAAACAGATGATGCTGCAGTCTTAAATGTGGAACTCTCACTTATATACTATTTGTTTCACCGTGCAGGAGAGCGATAACCGTCGGATAAACTACATGACTTATCTAGCCACTGTGTTCCACGTGTCCTGTTTAGTTGAACATTTAGGCCTAGTCTCTAAGAAATATTCCTCAAAATTCTTCAAGAGAAAGAATTATCTGATCTATGAAGTGCACACAACTAAGAAGAGAGATTCTGAAAAGCTTGACAAATGAACTCCATTTTGTTAAATGAGTACAAAGGTATTGTTACCAAAAACAGCCTGCTGCCACATTTCTTAATTTGTGAAAAGTTCGATTCATTTGGCAGTCAGGAAATTTCAAATATGCATTTGAATTGCCAGTTTGGATCCATCAATGTTGCTAAAGCACATTAAGTCAAACATCTCCGTCCTCATGCCAAGAGTTTTTATTTTTTGTCTCCTTCCTTTAGAGGATTGTGTGAGACATTTCTTCTTTACTCTGCTATGATTGTGAAGACACAAGCTACGTAGAGTAAACACTGTTTTATCATGCAGCCATAAACAAGTATTTGAGCTCATCAGACGTCTCAATTAATTATTAAAAAATGTCTACAGAGAGAACAAAACAACTGGAACGAAATGTAACTCTGCCACATGCATGATTCCAAATTGTCAGATTGGAGACTATTCTGATCCACAAAAAGGGCAATTGAGGATAATATCTATATTCAACAAGGCTCAAAACTGAAAACACTCATATGGATGGGTCACTGCGTGTCTCTCGTATCACACCGCGGCGGCACAAACCTGCGCACAACTTAAACATATTTTCAAATCTTCTTTTCATTCATTTATGTGCAATAAAGTACTTTGTGCACATTAAAAACATCAGAGATTTAGTTACTTAATTGAAACATCAATCAACAAAATGTAATTATAATGCGGTGCTCCTATGAGGATGCAGGCTTGAGTCAGGCCATATGTCTTGATCTTATTCTCTGAAGCCATGAGGCCATGAATTGAGGTAAATTGGAGATGCTAAAAATTGTCCGTAGGTGTAAATAGATGTGTGAGAGTCCCTACTAGCCATGTAATAGGGAGAATTGGGGAAATACTTGGCAACCTACCACGGAAAAATCTTTGCTAAGAAAATTCATTGAAATTCATAATTCATCTTGCATATGGCGAGAAATAACTAATAACCCAGGCCAGGAGTCAGATATATAATGGTTAATGAATTAATGATATAATAGGCCTATAACAGAGATTTTTAAGTAAACAAACACCTTTACCAGATCTACTGAATGAGGATCATATATGAGCATTAACAGGGCAATTTCAGCAACAGTCACTGCAATGACTGCAAATCACTGCAATGACTTTTAATTTAAGCTGACATTCATCATTAGTGCTCTGCTTGTCAGGCTATTCTCTGAAAAAGACCAATGAGGCTTGAGGGAAGCAGAGAGCATGCTGGGTCAAAGCAGATGTTTGGCTTTCATCTCTCTCGCAACACTTTTGACCCAGGTTTAACATTGAGTTTAAAAAAAAAAAGAAGTCTAAAACTTATCCTATAGCTCATAGCTCAGTGTAAAAAAAAAATGTACAAATTAATAAATAATAAAAAATGAGATTAAACTAAATAATTCCTTGAAATAAAACACTGATTAAAATAAATGGATTTAAAATAATAATAATAATAATAGATAATCGTTAACATCATATATAATAATATCTACATTCAAGCCCAATGGGAAAAAAGAACAATGTAACATAAATAAACTAATATTAATATTATTTGAATTTGGTCTTTACATGAAAATATATAGCTTTTAAACTTTAGGAATGAGGGGCCTCGCACCAGGAAGATCATATTTGGAGGTCCATGGCATATAAAAGATTCACTCACAGAAAAAAAAGCCACAAAAGCTGTCACCGTACCCTTTCAAAAGGTATTTTATATATAATTTAGGTAATATCACTTTAAGATACTAAGGATTAAGGATTAATAAAGTACAAAGGATTACTTTTTGAAAGCTGCCCCATCTTCTAAACTGCTTTAAATCATAAACCCAGTTTTACCCATAAGCAAAGGATTGGTCACAAAAATTATGCATTCAGATAACATTAAGGCTCTGGGGGTGACTTGCCCCAGCTGTTTAACAATGATGATGATGAAGAAGATGATGGCCTTTTCACATATGCCAGGGAACATGCTGTCCGATTCTGTGCAGTTCTCTGCTTCATTACAGATTCATTTTTCATGCCACTTAACTCCATGAGGATGAGTGCTCACCATCCATACATACAGGATGTTTGTTTTTTTCTTCTTCTTCCAAGCACTGTCAAATTTCAGCTGATAGGTTTTGAATGTTCAGCTTTTCAGGGCTTTTGTTTTCTCCGAGTTCTGCATGGTGTTCTGAAAAGTCTAAAATGATAAGCCTTTTTTTTCTGGCGCTTTATCCAAAGTGACTTACAGTACACTTATATCATGGACAATATCCCCTCAAGCAACCTGAATTTAATGGGCTTTTTCCATGGCACGGACAGTGATCATGAATTGCCCCTTGCAGGGTTTGAACCAACCGTTTTGTTCACCAACCTAAGGGGTGATTCGCACTGGTAAGATGGGCTTTTAATAAAACTCGAAAAAAATTCAATAGAAAGGTGGCAATAGAGAAAAAAAAAAAAAACAGAGAAAATGGATGACGTAGGGGAAAAATAAGAAAATCACCATAATGCATTGCTCAAACCAACTGACCAATAAACCAGGTGAAGAACAAGTTCATACTGTTAATTTAGCCAACAGGTACATAGACTATAACATTGTAAAATACAAAGCTTATAGGCCTAAAAAAATGGCACCCCTTCAGTTCTCTAATTGGTGTAGCCCTCAATCGGGTCATGGGGTCTATACGACCCCAATCGACTTTTACTTAATAAAAAAAAGAAGGTTCCCTGATTTTGTGACTTTTCATACATTATCAATCTATACACACACGCACACAAAAACTGGTCTTGATTCGGTTGTTCTGAAGGTATGTAAAAAAAAATGTTTACACTTCTGGTCTTCGGGGTCAATATGACCCCACATTGAAATGAATGGGAAATGTGAAAAAAACTAAACATATTTTCTTCATGTGTCAAAAAAAAAAAAAAAAAAAAAAAATCCGACATAAATCAGAAATTTTTTACACAGAAATGAAGGCCTAGTACTAGAGCATAAATGCAATGTATCATAAAAATAATATTTCACATGCAAGCTAATGGTGTAGTTGAGGAACTGTGATATATGGAGCCAAAAGTACTTTATATCTCCAAAAACACAGCATTAATGAATAGATGAGAAGTAAACAAAAAAGATATATTATTATGATTAAAAATTTATATTTTTTTGTACAATTGTTGTACAATCAGGTGTTGGGGTCGTATAGACCCCGAAGCCCAGAAGTGTAAACAGGAAACGAAGACCATTTGAAGGTTAATAGTTTTCCTGTTGTTATTATTATCGTAATTATTCATTGGCCAATAATTCATAATCATATATAATTATTATTAATTAATCAAGCTCCTCTGTCTGCACTCTCCAGATGTTGCTGCTTATATTTGATGTTGTACATTTGCATAAAAGTAATAGGCTATATTTAGTGGACACGCCCACATTGCAAAGGTTCGCAGTCTCTCATGGCTGTCACCAGTTTATCTTTTAATGAAAATGATTGTCGCTGTAAACAGAGGATTTGGTCTGTCAGAGAGGCAGGTGTGTTATTATACTGTATTATATCTGTCAGAGAGGCTAAGTCGTTTTATTATTTATTCTCCCCTTTCCAGTCTATATTTAATCTAATGAGAAGTGAAGTCAGAGCAGATCATGACTAGAAAGCTGTTAAAAACAGTGTTGTTGCTACTTGCAACCGAAATAGATCGCAAGAAAAAAACGAAACATCTTCGTGTAGGTGGAGCTGAGACCTTCGGCTTCCCTTTGATGAGAAAGTTACGCGTTTAACCTACTAGAGTGCGCAATTCTGCAGAACTGTCACTTCCATCAAGTCAAGGACTGCCTCCACGCGCACATTAGCTATTATCAGCCAAACCAAAGCGATTGTCCTCTCTCGTCCCGTTTATTTAAGTTTTCCTTTCCTATACCCTCCTCACGACTTGTCTTGTTCTTTCTTTTTCTTTTGGAAAGCTGGAAGACACCCCAGATCTGCGCTCGCTTCAGCATGCGTTTGGCGGACGGAGCGCACTCTTGGCGAGCTCTTCATCATCAGGCGCAGGGATGATGTTCAACTCATCGGGCGCACTAGATTTCTTCTCGTTCACTCACCCCGAGGTCGCGTCGGAAGTTTTCAATGGTTCCTCACACTTATTCTACAACATCTCAATGGCCATGTGGAACAATTCCTGCGGGGAACAACTGCTTGATTTCACCTCAGCGGAAAAGATTGTTATCGGAATTATGCTGGCCATCATCACCACCGTGACGGTGATTGGAAATATGTTGGTGGTGATTGCGGTGTGCGTCGTTAAAAAGCTCAGACAGCCGTCCAACTATCTGCTGGTGTCTCTGGCCGTGGCGGATCTTTCCGTGGCTGTTGTGGTGATGCCATTCGTGATCGTGACGGACCTCACTGGAGGAAAGTGGCTTTTTGGAGAGGTCTTTTGTAACATCTTCATCGCTATGGATGTGATGTGCTGCACTGCATCTATCATGACGCTGTGCGTGATCAGTGTGGACAGGTGAGTACGTTGGGTTATATTTAGGGGACCCTTAGATTCAAAGTGACTTTTTTTTTTTTACAGGGACAATCCTCTTTTTGGAGCAAGTGCTTTGAACACAGTGGTGATAGTATAAAGAAACCCATTTAGGGGTTTGAACCTTCAACCCTTTTGGTTATTTAGCAGTTTTAAAACCACTTTGAGTTTATGTAAAATGTTTTATCCTTAAGAAACAGGATAACTGTGTGTGTGTGTGTGTGTGTGTGTGTGTGGGGTGGGTGTGTACAGTAGCCTACTAGGGACTTTTTTGAAAGAAGAATCTTAGGTTAATCAAGCCTGCATTTATTTGATCAAAAATACAGGAAAAAAAATTACTGTGAAATATTATCACAATGACTTCTTTAAAAAAAATTAAACTTTTGACCGGGGTGTATATATGAAGAGTTCAGATGCAAAAGCCTCTAAGTGCCATTTGAAATTTTGTTCTAGAATGACCATTTTTATCAAGCTTGTGTATTTAAGTTCAGTAATTTCACTTAAATTACAATTAATAGGTAATCTTCATTGCCATTTAAGTGAAATTACTGAACTTAAATATACAAGCTTGATAAAAATGATAATTTTAGAAGAAAATTTCCAATGGCACTTAGAGGCTTTTGCATCTGAACTCTTCATATATATATATATATATATATATATATATATATATATATATATATATATAGGGCTGTCAAACGATTAATCGCGATTAATCGCATCCAAAATAAAAGTTTGTGTTTACATAATATATGTGGGGGCACTGTATATAATTATTTTATATATAAAAATACACACACATGCTTGAGTATATTTAAGAAATATTTTCATGTATATACTGTATAATAGATTTATATATAATTTATATTATAAATAAATATAAAAATTTTATATATAAATCATATTTTTTTCTTAAATATACATGCCTGCGTGTGTTTTTATATATATACAAAATAATTATACTCAGTGCCCCCACATATATTATGTAAACGCAAACTTTTATTTCGGATGCGATTAATCGCGATTAATCGTTTAGGGCTGTCAAACGATTAATCGCATCCAAAATAAAAGTTTGTGTTTACATAATATATGTGGGTGCACTGTGTATAATTATTTATATATATATAAATACACACACATGCTTGTATATATTTAAGAAATATTTTCATGTATACTGTATATAGATTTATATATAATTTATATTATATATAAATATAAATATTTTATATGTAAATAATATTTTTTTCTTAAATATACATGCATGTGTGTGTATTTATATATATAAAAAATAATTATACACAGTGCACCCACATATATTATGTAAACACAAACTTTTATTTTGGATGCGATTAATCGTTTGACAGCCCCAATATAAATATCAAGCTTAGATGTATACAAAAGATCACTGGTGAATTTTTGTTTTATTTAATTTTTAAAAAAATATGTATTAGTAATGCTGTTTGAACTCCACAAGTTAAAACCTGACATTCTCAAATCATGCTGGTTAACATGTGATACCAGCGTGATTTGACAATGTTTCAAAGAGCATCTTGTGATTCATAGAAAGCCATAGACTTCAGCGTGGTCTCAGACTTTTGTACCCCACTGTATAGGGATGAATTCAAGTTGATTCGGAAACTTTTCCCCAGTCATCTCAAAGGCATAAAAGTATCCTAAATTCATAAAAGAAAGTAGGCCAACCATTTAAGATGCTGGAACTGGCAATTTCTTGGAATTTGCACCATTTTATACAGCATTTAGTTTTTAGCACTTCCATAGTTGAAATATCCCATACACTCGTAAAAAAAGAAAGGTTCTTATTAATGGCATCCCTGCAAAAACCCTCTATTGGAACCTTTATTTTTAAGAGTGTATAGTCTGTAAATCTGTGTTCGCATACAATGGCATTTATCATTTTTATACAAATATTAGAAAAATGCTGCAGGGGACTGATGTCAGTGTCACTGCACTCATGTTATGTCAGCTACTACCCATCTAATCATAAATGGTCCACGTTGTTGGCCATTTAATATTACAGATAAATAAGAATCAGTCAGTACTAAATCACAATGGCAGCTTCCTTCACTCTAATGTCAAGGCAAATCTCTGGACATGTCCACTGTACAGCAGAAATGAATACTGACAACTCTGTGTCCATGTCAGACATCATTCCTCCAGACCTAGAATAGGGTCAATACACCTGAAGCCAGTCTCCTATATGACATCACGAGGTGGTCGCTGACAGACCCTGATTTCGTTTGACACGCTCGAGGAGCTATTGTCCTTTAGAGTCCCGAAGTCCAAGAATCTATTTCTGTGAAAGAATGGTTAATGCTGGTCAAAATGAATGTAAAATTATGTGGTGTATTCATTTAGCAGTTTTCACTTTCACATATGACTGTAGTAAACTGTTAACTGATTGAATATTTAATTCAGTTAGTCATTGATCTATGTCAGAGTTTTTAACTTTGCTGCTTTATCTTTTAGTCTAGCTCAAGTTGTTTATTTAAACAACTGCATTAAAAAAAATCTATGAATTATCACAGGAAAGCTGTCTGTAAAGATGACCATCTATTGTGATAGTTTAACCATCCTCAGGTTAACCAATTAGAAATGAGCTACAGTGCTGAAATTTGATTAGACAATAAATTCAGTAAATATTATTTAAATTTGATTCGAAATGTATCCTATGGACATTTTATATTATCAGAGTTTGAGATGCATAGCACAAAAAGGCCTTTTTTTCAAAACACTGCTCCGTCTCTTTATTGTTGTGACACACACATCGCCCTTTTTTTCAGCACATTACGTCTGCTATCGCTTAGACACTTTAATCTATACACGTACCGAGGACCATGTTCTTTCAACAAGCACTTGAAGGTTTTGAAGGATTATAAACAAACCTAGTCTCTTATGATGTTTCTGTTTGAAAAAAATCGAATGTGAAGTGATTGCATATTTGAATATCGCCATTTTTCTGCGAGGACCAGAGGAGGTGCTTAGTGCTTTTTTTTGTCATTGAGACTAAAGTGTGATTCATCAGGTTGCTCTGATCAGGTTTTATCAAATGAAGATTGTATAGCAGCAGCCATTGGTGATGAGATTACCCATCCTGCACAGTCTGATTGGCTATTAATTTAAAAATGATCCAGTATTGATTTCAGTTCCAACTTAGCTAACAGGGATCGTTCTCAGAACTTTGGCTAACATTCTGGCAAGGTTTTCGTGAAGTTAAAACCATTATGTATACATATTCATGACACTTTTCTAAAACGTCTTTTAAATGTTGTTATTACTTCAGAGAACATTTAAAAAAGTAATGGTCCCATAATGTTTGCAAAATGATAAAATGGAAGGTTTCACTTAATGTTTGCATTACCAAAAAATTATAACCAGTTTTGAATGTTCAGAGGCCATTCGGAGCTTAATGGCAACGTTAGCAAAATATATTTTTGTTAGCTGGGAAGCAAGTCAATTTTGATTTAATGCTGACTTGAAAAGCATTAATATAATGTATGTTGCATAATGTAATGAAAACACCACCGTGGCCCTTTTAAGACTGATTTCTCCAAAGTGTATGCTCTTAAATGAGTTTTACAGAGAAGCCACATGTCAAGGACAGCACCTAAATAGGAACTGAAGAGCCTGTAAACTCACTGTTATAACTCAGCGTTCAAGAACACTTGACAAATGCTTTGACCTTTGATTCAGTTCACATAGATCATTTCAATAATGGAAGTGAAACTACCTTGCTAGTGGCTTTTCCTCATTCATCTTGAAAGTGAGGTCTTCTTAAAGGACCATTTACTAGATGTTGTCAAAATCTTGAGGTGTTTCCAACAAGAAGGCCATCAATTACAACAATTCGTTCCATCTACTGGACATTCATTTACTGACCAACAGGCTCTAGAGATTGAACTCATTCAGCAACAAGGAAAGACCTTTTAACATAATGGGAAAATAGCAGGAGAAAAAAAAACGATCAAGAATTCAGGCTGATAACATCACAAGGGTTTATGTCTGATTTTAAAATCAACATGAAATCAAATCAAACTATTTACGCATACCTGGTCACTCAAAGTCTTCAAAATATTGCAAAAAAATATTGCTTTCACATTCTTTGAAATCTACTTCATACTGTATGTAATCTTCATACCTATCAATAAATAAGGCGGAGAAACATACACTATTTTTCCATAAAAAGAAAAGGGCCAAATGTTTCTCTAATGGTCTTGTATTATCTCAACAAAATAAATCATCATTATTTCTCCAATGTTAAAAAGACACATCACCCTCATTCACAACCCATAAATACACTCTAAAAATGCTGAGTTGTTTCAACGTGGGCCATTGGTTTAAATGGTTAAACTTTTTTTTTTTTTTTTAAAACATATACAACCCAGCAGATTTTTGTCCATGAGTGAGCTCAAGCAAGTTATCCATCTTCCTGAGACAGCAGAGTGTCTCTTATGTATGGGCATATATTAGTTTCATCTCAGGGTGAAGTGACAGTGATGAAAAAGTGTTATAGTATAGGATTAAGTGTTAGTGAATGTAATGTTTGCTGCTAGTATTCAGAAGCCACACAGCATTGGGTTTGAGGGAAAGGCACAAAGACAACAGGAAGTAGAGCTTGGCTTTTCTCATGATGTTCATGTTAATGTGACTGCGTAATGTTCGTGTAATGTGCTAATGTGAATGCATGACACTTCAAATATCAAGTATCACACTTGTTGCATTATTAAAGAGGATACATTAAAAATAGAAATAGCATGCATTTGCATTTAAAATACCACCATGGTTAATCTTGTCTTGAATGTATAGGCCTATACATTTTGTATGCACATGCGCACACTGGGTTTTATGGGGACAAACTGTATTTTATATCACCTAACCCTAAACCTACCCATCACAGAAACTTTCTGCATTTTTAAATTAAAAAACAAAACAACAAACATCACTTAGTATATTTATAAGCTCTTTTC